AAGCTTTCAATTAAAAGATCCTAAACTCAAATTGTAATGCTTTTGACTCCACCTAAGGGATTAAATCAAGTGCATAAAGTTCTTCAATTTATTTATCTTTCAACCAAAAATATTTATCATCATCAAAATGGGAGAAATTTATGCAGCCACAATCCCTAGAGTGTGATTTTAATAATAACAAATATTATTGATTTAATTTGCATTTCTCCTAACACTTATATTGCAAATATTTTTATGTATAAACTAACATTTCAAGTACATGATACACTACTCAAGAATGTTCAAGGCTCAAGTTTGGGTTTGATCCAAAGTCATCAGATTGTGATGGTCATATCTGGGAAAATTAAGCTAATTATTAGAAGATATTTAATGGAATTCAGATAAATTTTGAAAAAGGAAACATAATTAGGATACCAGATGCCTGTACCAGGACCTTTCGTGAAGGCCTTCTCTATTAGTAAATGTCCTCTCCGTCATCATCAACCTGTCATTAAGCTCTCTCACTTTAATTGCGTCTTTTTTCCATGTTAACAACCAAATCTTCCCTTCATGTACCTGCAACTATAAACTCTTTAGTTTAGGAATAAACTTTCTTTCAAACCCAATTCACTGTCAGAGGAAAACCACCTACGAAACAATTGAGAAAGCATTCTTTCACTATCTATTATAGTTGCCGCCATCTTTAGCTCTTCTATGGGAACTTTTATTAGGTCCGGTGTAAGGACGTAGAGAAACGTCCGGTCGGAGGCAAAATCCCGCCAAAAAACTCGGTATTTGCTCGGTATTGCTATGTATTATTTGATAATAACGAGGAATACCGCTCTGTGAAGACCAATACCGAATTATACCGAGCTATACCAAGCAATACCAAGTTGTACCGAGTTTTTGCTAGGAAAAACTCGGTACAACTTTTGTATAACTCGATATTGCTTGGTATAGCTCGGTATAACTCGGTATTGGGTCTTCACATGATGGTATTCCTCGTTATTGTTTGGTATTGTTTCGTATTTGCTCGGTATTTCTCATTTTTTGGCGGGATTTGGCCTCCGACCGAACGTTCCTCTACGTCCGGTCGGAGGACGTAATAATTGTTCCTTCTATGGAGTGGGATATATTCGATCGTCTATATTCCATCAATTTCTTAACTATTTCGCATAAATGGGTGTTCTTACCAGGAATTCTCCACCGGGTGCTGGTCTCGTCTACGTCAATTTGCAAATTTTCATAAAACTCAGCTATTCACAAGTCTTAGGAAACTAGTCAGTGTCATCATCAATTCTATAGTTTTTTTAACCTTACCGATGAGTGTTCTTCTCTGTCTCAAAATCTCAAAAAAAACATGTAGTTCACCACCTCCACAATCCTTTGCCTCTATAGTATTACACAAACCATGTTATTTAGATACTTCCGCCCATTTTGATATCCATGCTTATAAAATCAAAACTATTGAAAACAAATAATGTACAAATTAAAATTGTGAAATATCTGAAGTAAATTATCAAGGGCGTTGAAGACTTTTAAATTATGGGCGAGATAGGCTAAGCAAGGCAAGACAAACCAAGCAAGGCGCACATCGACTAGGCAAACAGGCATGGCTTCAAGGACTAACGAGATGAGACAGATGAATTCGATGACCAAGCTGATGCGAGGCAGCTTTGATGAAGAGGGCATGCGAGATGGCAAGCAGCTTCAATAAAAAGAGAGGAAAAAGTGTGAGGCGTCTTGTACTATGCATATTCATGCAAATTAAACTTTATTTTGAGTTTTGCGAGTCCCTAACTTCGTCCAATTCGTGTCACACCATTTACAATCCATGTTGAAGTCCAATTTTTTAAGCATCTACAAAATGATTTATAAAGTGTCGAACATGTGTCTAGGCATATTAGAGCCATATCCATGTTCGACAAATGTCCAACATGAACACGAGAGACATTTTAGAGAGTCCATGCTTCCTAATAAGCGACGCCCGTGTCTCTTGTGCCTTGTCACACCTACCTCATATCTACTTTCACATCATCACCCCATCTCCAAGAAACACCCCTTCTAACACGTCACAATGGTGTTTGACTAAATATCCCTTAGAAGCAACAGGCAAATGAACTTAGTGCAACAACTAATGCACTAGATTGCCTTGATGATGTTGAGAAAAAAAAAATATTAAAAAGATCATACACAACATTAATAGGTGATTGACTAAACTCAAAGTAAAATTTGAGCCAAACCGACTTTGATGCCACAATTGGCCAACGAAGCAACTCCAACATTCAGCCACAATATATAAAATCAAACAATGACATGTGTATTTTCAATGCATCAACGAATGATAAGAGCCTTAAAATGCATTCAAGTCCTCAAGAAATGACAAACACCATCTCAAGCTCCTTAGGGCATCTCCAATGGAACGGGAAACAACAGTTTGCCGTTAATCTTCCGCTGCTCCAACCGAGCGGCAATTTTGCCGCTATTTCATCGCCGGTAAACACTGCGACACCAATATATTGGTGTCGCACTGTTCACCCGCTACATTTTTATGTTTCAACGGAATTTGCCCGCGAAATGGAGAAAGACGGTTACGAGACAATGAAGCCCGTGAAATGGAGTTCGATTGGAGCAGAATTACGGCATTTTGGAGTTTTGTTGTATTTTGCAGTGGAAAATGAGGTTTTTAGTTGGAGATGCTCTTATATGATTCAAATGGGCATCGATACATCCTCTCAAGCTCTAATAGTCCAATCAAAAAGCCAAGAACCTGCTTGAGATCTTTGTTTGGTTGAACCAACGATTCAAGCATTCTCTCATGTTTCACCGCCAAAGTTTATATCGCCTTCACCTATCATAGAAGATACTATAGGTTTGGCTAATACAACTCCAATCACATTACAAAAAATACAGTATACAAGGAACAACCAGAAGAATGGTTGCCACCTCAAATGTCGTGTGCAAGATCTGGACTAGAAATGTAGCTTGATTGTTGCCAACCTCTTCCAAATTTGTCAATATTTATCCCCACATGGCATGACCTTGAGACTGCCTTGAGTGACTTCTTTTGATTCAGTTCAATCTTGAGGATGAGGTCATTTTTAAGGGGATGATAATGATATGATAAATAAATATAATGGGTAGTAAATTGAGTCAATAAGTCATATAGAGCATTAAGTGATTAATACGCAGTTGTATGGGGTTATATAGGTAAGTGGTTAATATTCGAGTGAGTCTTGTATGTCTATAAATACCTATTTGAAGTGCATTAGAGCATGCAATAAAAAAAAAAAAAAGAACACTCCCCTTGATTTGAAAATTTTCTTTTTGTACCTTCCTCAACTTTGCATTTTCTAGTGTTATCAGCTAATTACAATTGACATTTATCATACGATCCTTTGTATCCTCACAATGGTGCGAGTAGTTATTATCAAGAAGCCATGAAAGAAATATCAATAAGATGCTTGTTTTAGCAAAGTGATAAACCATCTACATTATATATAGGACCCTTACAAGAGTTACCATATACAATGGATAGTGGCTTATAAGAACATAGCACATTAGGCAAAATTACATCTTTACTGAATCATAGGCAATGCCCATCAAATTTTGAAATTTCAGACAACCAACATTAAGTGATAAGAGCTATGAAGCATTACATCTTCTCTATGGTCTCCACGTCCAATTTCGGCCTCTCTAGGCTTTTCCCCAAGGGGTCTTCGACCTGGCCAGTGGTGTCGCCTATTAGGGCAACGGTCTTGTGGCCACATCGTTGGAAGTTGGAACCATGCGAGAACAATTATTCCAATAAGATTTCCTAAATGCAAGCTTTCTGCAGTCGGGTCGAAACCGTAATAAACTTTGACTGGGGTATTATTGGGATTCGAGCAAACCGACCTGAGATTGTTGCTGGCTATGGATTCCACGAGGCCGCCCTCATGGAGGATGTCGACGACGTTGGGGATGGCGGGCTGTGGTTGAGCTTCTAGGGTTTGGGGGGTGATGATGGCAACGAGAAACTGCAAAGTAAAGAAAACCGTGGACTAACGTGAAGCCTAGGGTTGAGGAAGTGAGTAGTTGAAGGTTGAAGAAGCGCCGTCATCGCTGCAGCTGCCACTGCCATGCTTTAGGCGGGGAGCCACGTAACGGAGTTAATGAATGTGTGAGTTTACACTGGCCAGACCTTCAAATCTAGTTCGTCAAGTACTTTTAAGGCTTTATTTGGTTATCCTTTAATTTTTGTAAAAAAAGATAATTTTAAAACAATGATGGAGCAAATAAAATTTTCAAACGGAGAAGCATATATCAAAAAATTTCTTAAACAGTAAAAAAAAAAGTTCTGCAAAAAAATATTTCCCCATAAGCAGTATATTCAGGGTACTTTTGGGACGACGTTGCTATTTTTTTGCTTTACAAAAAATTATTGAATGATCGTTTGGGAGCATTGCGGCAGAATCGGGTTAGAAAAATTTAGCAGCACATAGCTGCGTGACGTAACCTTTCACTCTCTCCCGTGGTCGGCTGATTTTCGCTATTTTGAAGGGTAAAAATGACGTAAATCTCCGCTGCAAATATTCGCGACCTTCATCCCATCTGCCCCTTTCACACATTTTTTGACTACAATTACCAAAACCTAAAGACCAACGCCATCGTCCTCAAACTCATCCATCTCAGGTGCACTGAATTCTTTTCATTGACTCTCTCCTAGGTTTTTTTCTTTTGGCTTTGCTCTTCGGTTTCTTTTTTATTTCTCTTTTTCAACTTTATGGCAAAGGAATGGCCGATAAACACGGAGAACATCAATGGAGACAATGGCAAGGCAGTGAGCTTAGTGAAAGAACATAACAGAGGAAGAAAAGAAGAACGAGACAGAGGAAGGAAAATAGAGTAAATTGTATTGAGAGAAAATATAAAACTGAGACTCACGAGTCTGGACGGTATACATGAATATATATATAAAGTCGGAGGGCAAAGCCGTAAATACAAGGTGCATAGGTTGTTCGCTTACAGCCTCCCTCAAATTAATCATTCAGCTTTTGAATAGTTAATTTGCGGCGTAGGTCGTGAAAGCGAGCAGGCAAAAAAGATTTTGTTAGAATGTCGGTGATTTGAGCTGTTGAAGGTATATGAGTGATGGAGATTTTGCTGGAGTTAAGGTGTTGACGGATGAACTGGTAGTCGATCTCTATGTGTTTGGTTCTAGCGTGGAAAATTGGATTCTTAGCTAGAGCTATTGCCGAAGTATTGTCGCAATGGATCGTAGTTGGTGTTGATTGAGCAAGGTCGAAGTCGACGATGAGGCGGCGTAGCCATACAACATCGAAAGTGGCTGCGGATAGAGCTCTGTATTCGGCTTCTGTTGAGGATTTTGTGAACGTGACCTGCTTCTTGACGGACCAAGAGATAAGGTTTGAACACAAGTAGTTACAGTGACCGGAAATGGACTTGCGATCGGAGGGGTCTGATGCCCAGTCGGCTTCGGTATATGTCTTGAGAGTTAAATCCCCAGTTGTGATTGGCAACCCGAAAGATGAGGTGCCTTTAATGTATCGCAATAGCCGTTTGAGCTCTTGAAAATTCTGCACATTGGGTTGATGCATGTGTTGGCAGATTTGATTGGTGGTGAAGGCAATGTCTGGGCGAGTGATGGATAGGTATTGTAGTGGGCCGGCGAGACGACGATACAACATTGGATCGGAGAAGGGTTGATTGTCATTGTCGTTCGAATTGGCTTTGGGTGTAATGGGAGTTGGAGCAGCTTTGCAATCTGCAAATCCGGAATCTTGTAATAATTTTTCTGCATAATGCTGCAGAGTTAGGAATAGACAAGCAGGTTGGCGAAGCACTTGGATGCTTAGGAACAAGGATATTTCGCCTAGCTGCTTGAGTGCAAAATTGGATTGAAGTTTTGACATTAGATTTTGAATTGCTGACATGCTATTTCCTGTAATAACATTGTCATCGACATAAATCAATAGATAGATTTGAATTGTATTTTGGCGGAGAATGAGGAGTGAAGGGTCGGAACGGCTAAACCTAAACACTTGAGATTGGAGGAAGCAGGTTAGTTTTATGAACCATTGGCGTGGGGCTTGTTTGAGTCTGTAAAGGGATTTGTGCAGTTTGCAGACTAAGTTACATGATCGGGAATCAATGAAACCAGTTGTGTCACGACCCAACCCGACCGGGACGGGTCCCGCTCGCATCGGGTCGTGAGTGCCTGAACTTTCAGACTGACTGAACTGATTCCAGGATCTGGCTTTGGAATTTGTTTCAAAACTTTCTTTCAAACATTACACACAGAAACAGACACACACAGAGCTACTATAAACATCAAATGCAGCGGAACAGATCATCTATATTTTTCTTCCTCAAAAGAATCATGTACAAATACAGCTCATGGCTTTCAGACAGAAAGAAAAGCAGAACAGAAAAGCCATGACTGTACAAAAAATCAAAAGTATAAAATACCTATCACAGATCAGACTCTAAATTCTACTCCTGGACTTCCTTCCCTTTCCCAAAACCTGAAAACCACGCAGAAAACAAGGATGAGCTACAACAGCTTAGCAATGCAACAAACCTCCAATCAAAATCCTCAGATTCCACATCAAACACATCAAACAGAAATTCGTACAGAAATCGGAACAGAATCGTATA